TTGACAACTACTGCATATTACATTTGGCAAAAGCTGTTGGTACATAGTAGACATCTAATACTCGTAGTGTTGTCATGATACTGGAGACCAGAACTAATATTTTGACCTTTACGGCCAATCATAGTCATTTCTGTTGAGCATGTGAACACAATAACCAGTCAGCGGTGTTAAGTATGCTCACAACAGAGCTCAAATGTTAGCAAAAAAAATGGACATTTTTAAAATTGCAGTATGGTGTGGTTGGGCTGCACAATCTATTGTTTCAGCATCGATATTGCAATAAGTGAATCTTCAATTGTCACATCATGTAATTAATCTTTGTTTTATTGATTTCATCTGTGCTTTAAATTTATTTTATATATATTTTTTTATAATTTTATGCAGATACACTTGCTTAATAATTTCAATCAATTTTAAATTCTGAATTCTTTTCAAATAAAATGATCTTATCGCAAAATATAAATCGCAGAAATACAAAACATTGCAATATCATATTTTCCCCAATATCATGCAACCCTACCATTTGGTACCATTTTACTGAACTCAATAATTTTCACAACACTGTATACTGTTATTTAAGCTAGATAAGGCAAGTTTTTTTTATATAGCAGATTTCATAAACAGAGGCAATTCAAAGTGCTTTACATAAACAGGTATAAAAGAGAAAAGTATAAGAAAAAGAATAATAAAAGTGATTAAAAACTGATTAAAATGAGTTAAAACAGGTTATAAAAGAATGAAAAACAGAAAAGAAAAATAAAAGACATAATAGTGTGATTTTTTCGTGCTCATTCAGTAAAGGCACAGCTCAACAGATTGTGTTTTAAGTCTTAATTTGAATGTTTCTAATGTTGGAGCACATCTGATCATCTGATTTAAAACACTCACTAGTTTGATTTCTCTCTTGTAGCTGGTTGTCTAAAGGCGTTTTTCCATGTTTCAGTTCAGCATGGCTTATTTTTGATGGCTTTCCATTCCGTTTCGTATTTAGTAATACTTTTTGTCGTACCACCGTGAGGTTCCAAGTTAGCCATAAGGTTACCAAAACGTGACATATATACACACTGCTGATCATCAATTGGCAGGGCCGGAGTGGGACTCTTTTTCAGCCCTGGAGTTTCAAGCCTCAGATCGGCCCACCTCAGTTCACCACTGACTATATTAAAATAAGGTTATTTCCAATTCAGTTTCTAATTACACTATCACGTCTTTTTTTGAGAAAACAGCACTTTTAGAACTTCAAATGTTTAACAACCCTTACAGTATTATGTCTTAACAATAAAAATGAAAAAAAAAAATTGTTACTCAGACGAGGAATGAACCCAGGTTGGCCGCGTCATAATCTAACGAACTAACCACTGTACCACAACAGCTACATGTTGCATGGCTAAATAGATAAAAAGAGCAGAGCTGCGGTAAAATAATGAATAAGAAGGCTGTGGTCAAGTAAATAAATAAATAAATTTTAAACTGCTGAGAGCAACCGATTCTGGAACTAGGAACACCGGCCCTCGCGGCCAAAAAACGGACCGGCCCACCGGGAATTCTCCCGGTCCTCCCGATTAGCCAATCCGGGCCTGTCAATTGGTCAGGGTGAATCCTCACTATAGGCATCACTGGTGTTGTGACATAAGACACCAAACTTTTTGTATTTATATAGTCATCAGCAGCCATTTCTGCATTGTTGATTCACATGACTAAACTATTTTTTTACCACCACAATAAAAACACACCTGAAATGGCAGCATCATGGTCAGTAGAGAAACAGTGGGAAAAACTGCATGATTACACAAAATAAAACTGCAATTTTCATTGTGTTTGCAATAACCATTTATGTGTACTTACTAGGCCACAATCTATAAAACAGTCACCAAAGGTTGATATAAAGTTAATAGCTTTTATATTTAGCTTTTCCCAATTACATAATTACAGGATATAAAATGGTAAAGAATCAACTTCTCTTCAATAATCTAGCTAGCTGTCATTTAAAGATCATATTTAACAATATTTATTTACAATTGCATACTATAGTCTTATATAATAATAATAAATAAATAAAGCCAAAATTTCACTGAAAGTTACTCTCCATGACTGTTAAATGGGGGATTTATTCAAGATGATTTATTTCACTATTAAGTTGCCCTGTTTATGTTAACATACATTATTAATTCAGTAGGTTTATCCTTTTTTATGTTGTCCTATATCTGTTCTAACACCAGTGGGTTACATTTTATTGCTTTTATTCTGCCATGTCTGGTATACTGTTGCACTGAGCGACAATTTACCTGATAGCAGCGACATTAAATTCCAACATCAGATTGGTAACTCCAGCTCCTTCCATATGTGTGTTTTGTACTTTAATTGTATATACCGACTCAAGTTATCCATTACATCTCATTGTTGGAAATAAAATATGTGATGTGTGAATGAGCTGAAATGTGTTTATCTCACGGTGAATAGGCCTGAATGAGACCTGAGAGCCCTGGTTATTTGTAATTTTACACTAGTCCATTAGATTGCACTTCTTTCTTTCTTTTATTGACGCTAGCTATGTTAAAGTACACAGTCCTGTACATTTGTCCTTTTACCTGATTTTCTTACACTTCTTGGCTTTAAAAAGGTTATATTGTTGTGATTTCATAACTGGTTGGTTTATTACTAATAATGCTTTAACATATAGTTTCTTAAGTGAAAAATATTCAGAACAATCACTGCTGAAATCGTCATTACAAAATTTGCATGTCAAAAATAACATTTGTCTTTTGGTTGCCACCATTCAAATCCCATGTCTAAAACCTGTGCAGAAAAAACAGTGCAACTGGACTGTAATGTTGCCAGTATGAGGTAAAAATGCTTCAAGATTTTAATATTTTGTTAATTGTGTGAGGTAATGAGCTTCATGAAAGATCTGGGAACTTAATAATGGTCAAAAACTGATTTTAATAACTATATTGGGCCTTACAAATTATGAGAGTTTCCCAAGAAACAAAACAAAATAGAGAGAGCCAATATGGGATACTGAAATATGGGAGACTCCCGGGAAAAAAATGGAAGTGTTGGTTGGTATGGGTCAGGCACTAATGCAGTCTACACCACAAAGGAATAATTACCTTATAGTAAATATAACCTCATTTCTCTTGCCATGAAAAGATGATGTAGGGGTTATATGGTAGTGACCCGGTTCAGTTTGACAGACGAGTGTCATCTGTAATTTCCTCAGCATTACATCTTGAAGTCATGTTTACCCTTACCTTCTCTTCCTTGTCTTCACCTCACCTTTAATTACATTTGACTCATTTTGCCCGCAAAACTTCAAAGCCTGAGTTGGATTCGTACATTTCTCCACTAGCTTTGGTTGTGAGTAATTATAGGGGCTTTGCGAGTAAGTCTAAGTGACTCTAGCGAGAGCAGTTTGAGGGAGAGTGTGTGTTTATTTTGATGGTGCATGGACTCGTGGCGCACCTGTTATTTCCCATCTAAGCTGATTCCTCACATGAGTAACACTGCAGTAATACCATTGGTCTTTATTTACTCATGAAACACCACACAAGCTCTCCAGCCCCCCGTGTGGGAAGGTGTTTGACCACTGCCTGGCCTTTGATTGTTTATGTAAAGCCTGCAACTCTCCAGACTTTAAGTAAACTGTGATGTTTATGGGATGCTATTTTTATGTAAAACTGTGGAGTCCAGGTGGAAAACACTGTGGTATTAAATTGGTAAAATAAACCTGCAACACAAAAGCAGCTTATCATTCATTTGTTGGCTGCTATTTGAAAATAACTACAAACATTAAAATAATATTACAACAAATATCTTTAACTGTTACGTAAAAAGGCTTGGACTGTTACTGGTGATAATAACTGGAAGGGATTCATGTAATTCAAGTAATAAATGTATAAATGGTTTACGCCGTTGAGTAAAAAAATGAATAGAAATTGACACCTCACAATTTAGACTTTTCTTTTGAAAAAGCAAGAAAGCTAAAAATTAGAGAAAAGCAAGAGATCTTTAAAACAAATGTAATGTCAACTAATTTCTGAAACGTTTATAAACACACTTTAAATTGAACCGAAATCTGGGAAAAGCTTAGAATAGTGAGATAAACTATAAGATCTTGACTTTTTTTTCTTCACATATTTTTAGCTCATAGATCTGAGAGAAAAAAAGTCAGATGCGTTAAAAAGCTCTCAGTTCAGACTTTTCCCTTATGATTGTGAGCTAAACACAGTATTTTGAGTAAAAAAATATCAGAACTTGAAGCTTTTGATGGGAAAAAGATGAGATAACTGAGAGAAAATATATTAACATCTCACATTTCTGACATTCCCCCCTCAAAATAGTTATCAGCTCACAACTCTGTGGGATCAAATTAAGTCAAAATAGAGATATAAACTCGCATTTGGGATTTTGTCCCCCTATTTGAGGAAAAATAATCATACATGACTGATGGAGGAGGATAATGTCAAAATCCTGAAGTCGCCATGCCTTTTTAAGGCGGAAATGTGCTTTTAAAATAACAAATGTAATGTTTTTGTTTCAAAGTAATGCTTACATTACGTTAATTTTCAAAGTTTCTCCCTGTTTACAACCTAAAAAAGTATTTCATTCAGTGGTTGTTGTACAGCATTTTGCCGCCTCTTAACGTGACGCGGGATTGTTTTGGACGGAGCCGCTCCAAACAGCAAACAACACATGACTCTTTCAGACCCATTCAGAGGTTTAATTTAAGCTCCCCGGGGTCTCCCTCCTCCCCCTGCCCCACTGAAGGGGCTTTTCTGTGATGTCAGACGGGAGAATCTGAGCATTATTAGTGCTGAATAACCAGAATAAAGGCACAATGGGGTTGATTTGAATAGAGCGCGGAGCCGGCGTACAGACGCGGCGCTGCTCCAGAGACGTGCTTACGTAAAGTGCGCGTCGCGGATGCAACTTGTTTGAAACTTTTTTTGATGGATGGATGAATATATAAGAGACTTTCTATTTCTCTCTCACGTTGACAGATCTACACGGACTGGGCGAATCACTACTTGGCCAAATCGGGACACAAGCGTCTGATTAAAGACCTGCAGCAGGATGTGAGCGATGGCGTGCTGCTGGCGGAGATCATCCAGGTTATCGGTGAGCGATTCACTCTCTCTTCACACAAGTTAATGAACGATTTACTGCACATAGCCGGCGTTACATACATAATGTCTATATTAAAGGTTTTAATTATAGAGTTACATATTATAGCCTACATAACATGCATATGAAGTTATGTATTTTGTATTAAGTATGGGACACTCTAAAACGTAGGTACATTATCCCTGAAATAAACATTTTCATCCCAAAACATGTCTAAAATGTACTGATGATTGATTTCTGTGAGCTGTTCTGTAATGGAATCATTTATTTGGTTCTCAGATATTTGTTCTTTATTAAAAACACAAATGTGCAAACCCTGTCATTGTCCTTGTCCTCAACCCAAACTGAATCTACAGCTTTAATAGTTTTGTCATGCTAAAAACTGTTATTTAGAAAAAACAATACTTCAGAAATAGCAAAGTTAAGTTATTCACATCACTTGATTAAAAACATGAAATTATGAACAAATTCTACAAATAGGCTAAATACTACTGATATACAGTATAATGCAAATAAATTTACAGTTGTCCCCATGTTGCTGTCTGTCCTGTCACATTTGCATTAAATTTAACATAAAATATGTGCAATACACGTTTAAGGCTATGACGCGGAAGATGTGATCAAGGATCTCATGATTTCATGCTTGTTTTTTTTTTTTTTTTAATAAGTTAAAATGTACGTTTCTGGTAGAATGTCTCATATATATTACGTAAAACTTAAACATTAAGTCTGTTTAAGTATATATTAAGAATGTATACTTCAATATACTTAATAAAATACATTATACTGGAAATGCATGTTTGAAAATGCAATCCTTTAGCCTATAATATTACTCTATATTTAAAACATTTAATATAGACATTATTTATTTATTTTGACAAAATAATATTAAATTAATATTACAATTAAATTATTAAAAATACATTACATATGTAATATATAAGCTGTCCTCAAGATTTATAGGTTTCATTTATAAGATTGAAATTATTTATAATTTATTTAGCTGTTGTAGAAATGCATTTCAGTTTCATTTCAGTTTTCTGTTTTGAACAATAAATTATATTTCCAATAAACAGTATTTGATTTTATTTATAAGTGTTAATAGTAAGATTATTTTGATTAAAATATGATGTAGGCTAATATTACATCAATGTGGTGTGTGTTTTTTATGTTCTTTTTTGATTTATTTATTTATTTATTTATTTAAGTGTTTATTATTATTATTATTATTATTATTATTATTATTATTATTATTATTGTTGTTGTTCTTACAAGTACTTAGTAAGAAAAGCGATCCCTGTCAGTAACTCTTGGACATAAATTTATATATTTTTTTCTTTTTCTTTACCTCTGTCCTCTTAAAATGTGTTGTAAGAGCCGGAAAGCTTTTGGCTACTTAACAGCAGACAGTACAGTGTTCTAGGGCAAAGTGGTGTTATATGACACATATTGTGGTCATCCCACTTTGTCCTCTTGTGTTTTTATATCTCCAGGGAATCACACACTGGCCAATTGAAACTGAAACACGACCTGCCCTGTCCGACAGACACAAATGCTGCATGCAATGACATACTTCACATACTCATTTCTGTTTTAATGCTAGCTGATGGCTGATGACCAAAATTCTTGAAAATGTTTGCATTCATAACAGTAAAGCTGTTCTTTAGATATCCTTTCTAACTTGCAGAGTCTCCCTTAAGTGTTTGAACACTTAAAATGTCTGAAAAAATTAGGGATATAAATTCATTCCAAACTCAATAATGCAACTACAGATGCCGCATTGAGATTATTATAATTTATTAGACAATTTAAAAAATCTGAAACAAAAAAAATGTAATGTAAAAGTTTGTATAAAATTAAAATTCTGTTCTAATCAACTCACCCTCATATCGTTCAAAACAGACACACATACACAAAGACATTTTGAAGGATATTGGTTAATAAGCAGTTTTGCTGACAATTGACTTTTATTATATTAATAAAATAAAAATAAAAACTCAATATAGGAACCAAAACTTAAACTGTTTTTCCCAAGATTTAAATCACCATCATTTGATCATTCTAATTCCATTCCACACTTGTCTGATTTGCTTTCTTCTGAAGATCAAACACAACACATTTTTAACAAATGCTGGTAACTAAACAGTTTTGGTTCCCATTGACTTCCCACAAAACTGTAAATGTACTAATCTAGTAAGAACCACTACTAATATATATATTATAAATATACAATTCTGCCATTTTTCCACCCTCATGTCATTCAGAATGCATGCACAAGCACACTATTTTGGTATTTAGGCAGCTTTGGTTCCCATTGGCTTCCAACAAAACTGTAAATATACCAACCTAGTAGCAGCCAAAACTTTTGAGCAAATTATACAATTCTGCAATCATTTATTCATCCTTATGACATTCTAAATGCACTCGCACACATACAATTCTGGTATCTAAGCAGCTTTGGTTCCCATTGACTTACATTGGACAAACATTAAATGTCAAAGTATATAGGAACCAAAATTTAAATTGTCATCATTTACTCTTTCCAAACTTTTTCAACTCATTTTCTTCTGAGGGACCAAAACAAGATATTTTGAAGAGTTTTGCTAACTAAACATTTTTGGTTCCTACTGACTTCAAATAATACTGTAAAAATACCTGCCTAGTAAGAACCAAAACTTTTGTGCAAACTATACAATTCTGCCATCATTTACTCACCCTCATGTTATTCGAAATGCACACGCACACACACAAACACACATTTTCGGTATCTAAGCAGCTTTAATTCCCATTTAGTTCCATTGGACTAACATTCCAAAAGTCAAAGTGTATGGGAACCAACATTAAAATTGTCATCATTTACTCACTCATGTCATTCCAAACTTTTCCAACTCACTTTCTTCTGAGGAACCAATGACAAAAGTCTTGAATTAAAAAGCTTGTTGAATAGCACAAACTGAAAAAAATAATACACCGTATTAACAAGTTCTTGCATTTTAATGACTTGAATTCCAGGGTTTGTATTTTTAGGTCCTGAAATTTAACACAGTCGTTTATTTAAGCTGTGAATATTTCAATTAAAAATATTTCCAACACGTTTTCATACTTAAGAATTCAATAATTCATATTCAATTTTTAGATTTCACTTACAAAATATTCAATACCCTTTAAAAATACGATGTATAATATTCAAAAGGTCATTTTCAGTTCATTTCATTTCAGTTCAAATATTCGCTTCAATAAATTCAGTTGCTCAAATTCGACTGTTAAAATTCAACATTACATCCGGGAACTGCAGGAAAAGCAATAAATTGCAGATTGAAGATCGCCAGCTGCTCTAGCTTTCACCAGCAGGTGGAGATGGAATAATGTAAGATTTTTAACCCAGTAAACAGGCGAGAAAAAAGCTAATAAAGGCACAAAAGTAGTATTTAATATTAATATCAATGCCTTGGACATTATAAATAATAAAAAGTATGAGTAAAATGAGTAAATAAGGTTTTAGTCATCTATTTTTCCCTTTATGTAACGGAAGCCAGCTGGTGATCGCGTAAAACTCACTCCTTGGATCCAGGGACAGACGTTCTGCAATCTGTAGCATCCTCGGAGCATTTGTCTCCCATGCCGGTATCGCCGGCTCGCTCCCTGCTCGGACCGGTCCGGTTACACATAAACCATCTTTTGATGAATATGATGTTACACATTCTCTATCTTTATTAACTCTTTCTTCTATAGGCGTAAAGTATTATTTTGACAGCTAAAGAATACAAATGTAAGAGAAACAGAAGAGGAAATCTTATAATAATACTAAATAGATCCAAGACTATTCTTCAAGACATTCTTCAAAATATCTTTTTTTTTCTATAAATAAAAGAACAGCATGTAAATTTAGAACGGCATAAGTTCTAAAGCACAGTATTACATTTTTAGATTAACTATTCCTCTACAGTTAGTATTTTGGTAACCGTGTACAGAAAAGATTGATGTTGATAAGATGAAGATCAAATCATGAATTATTCGAAAGACAGCCACCCGAATGGTTCTCCCTCCATTGAGACAGTCCGTCTGCCTTTCTTGCTTACTCACCTGACGTCTTCCACATTCCTGACACATTTTTCCCACAGCGCAGGAGGTAAAGTGAGGAGCTGTCATTGTAGCCATGTGTGCAGTCGTCAGCTGTGGCTGCTGAACGGCCCTGTTTCAGCTGCCGTGGGGTGAGGGGTTTGTGTCCCATCCCTGTCGGGACGCAGGGTGGAGAGTAGACACCCTTAGGAAAGCCCCAGAGCAGTGCATCCCAGCAGGCCCTGCCACACAGTTGCTCAAACTGGATCTAGTTTCCACATTAGGGGTCAAAATCTGTCCGGCAAAGAGACTCACAAAGGACATACTGCACTTGAGGCTTACTACTAAGGACATTTTCTTTTTTGTGGAGAATTAATTTTGTCTTTTCTTTACCACAGCAAATGAGAAGATTGAGGATATTAATGGATGCCCTAAGAGTCGTTCTCAGATGGTAAGGACTTTTAATTATTATTATGGCGGAAATGAAAGTTTTGACTGTATTTCTGAAATATAAATCAAATTTTTTTTTGTATCATAAGAAACATTTTTACCCTGACTTATATTTTAGAGTAACTTATATAACACAAACAATGCTGATTGAGCAAAGCATGCATATTTAAGCTGGTTTTGTGCTAGTTTTGGTGTTTGCATTCAATTGAATGTACAAATTTTATTTTAAATACATAAAGGCTGTATTAAAGTAGTTGAAACATTTTTCAGCATACTGATATATTTATATAAATATTAAAAAACTGTCATCATTTCTCACTCTGTCATTCTAAATTCTTCCAACTCACTTTCTTCTGATAGACAAAAAACAGAAAATTTTGAAGACTGTTGCAAACTAAACATTTTTGGTTCCCACTATACAGTATATTACAGTGAACATAGATGGGATCCAGTACTATTGGTTTTAAACATTCTTCAAAATAGATTTTATTCTTTATTTTGTAATGCAGAATGAAACATATTTCGAAAATTGTTGAAAACCAATAGTTTTTAACATGCTTCCAAATGTCATCTTTTTTAAATTCACTACAAAAGAAAGAAAAGCAGGTCACACTCTGTCACACTTTATTTTGACGGTCCATTTGTTGAATTTAAGTTACATTGCATCTACATGCCAACTAATTCTCATTAGATTATAAGTAGGGTTGGGGTTGGTGTAAGTTGACATGCACCTACAAAGTTTCTCATAGTCAGTTAAATGTCTGTTGAAGGAGCAGTATCAGCAGATATTAAGCAGACAGTCTACTGCTACTCAAATGGACCATCAAAATTAAGTGTTACTGAAAAGCATGCTATTTAGAACAACACAAGTTCTAATGTTTAGCCCGATTTATATTTTAGAGTAACTTATATAATGCAAACAGTGTTGAGTGACAATGCTAATGCTAAACAATGCTAGTTGAATCATTTTTCGGCATATAAATAAATAAAATAAATGAACAGATATAAATATTAAACAGCTTATTTTGATGCATACTCACTGTAATAAAGCCTATTTTAAAATCAGTGATCAAACTAAATGTTATACAGTATTTTAAATGATAAAACCATCTTGTGGACAAATGGGTAAAAAAAAATGTAAATGACATTTAATTTGTATAATGGATAATGTATGCAAAATGTACCTATGCATAACTTATATATTTAAATTCAGAGAATGACTTGAGGTTTAGTAAGTGAGACTCATTCATTCAGTAAGATTCATTTAGTAACCACTCTTATTCAATTGTTCTGATTCACCAAAAGAACAGGCTCATAAGAATCCTTCAATCCCAAATCAGACTTTATACATTAGCACCCAAATCACAAGTTCTTAATAGACAAAAGTGCTGTGCAAACATACTAGCATACTCTTTTAATCAGGTGTGACTTGTTTTCTCAAAAATATGGGATATACACTTAACATTAACAACCCGCCAACCCGCTAAATGCGTGTAGATTTTAGCTGTTAGACCGACACTCCCACTAGACACTTTGGCTGGTTGAAAATTATTTTTAAGTTGTAGTTTTCTTAAAAGCAGGGTTTGACAATAAGAACGGCCCAATATTCGTACAAATGTGATCTAAGAATCGGGAAGCAGCATGACTGACAAAACTAATTGTGTTTGCGCAAGCAAAAGAAAGCAGGTTAAAAGCGAATGAGAGGATGATCACTCGCCTCACAGGTGAAAAATCTGTTTAAACCCCCTTTTCTAGAACATTGAGATGTCTTTAAACCTCTACTGATGCTGCAGAGAAAATTAATTATGAATAAATGGGTGGGGCACACTGAAACCCCTCTTGTCAAGGACTGGATAATCCTGATTAAAGAAACCACAATTATGGAAAGGATTGGACATATTAAAAGGAAAATCCAAGTCATTTCAGAAGCTGTGGGAAATTCCATTGACCTGTATTGGCACTGATTATAAGTCTACTAGTTACCCTTATCTGTGCACACCGCAATATTGTAATATTGTTTTGAATTAGACCACACTGCTGTTTTGTGCTTTTTAAATTTATTGGTTATATACACATCTGGTGCGAGCGGTTCTTTTTGAAATAGACTGTACAAAAAACAATGATCATGCACCCACAGTCCTGCTGCTTTCACGAGCTCCAGATTTTAAAAAGTGACATATATATGTTTGTAAATCCTTATATATCGCTTTAACTATTTTTTAAACAGAGAATTAATTGGCCTATTGTTAACCCTGTGCGCGATCATCCTTTCAGTATCACACATGGTATTACCTGCTTTTTTTTTTGCTTACGGTTATTTTTGTTAATATGGCTTAATTATTATTATTATTATTATTTTTACAATAGCATTGCTTTAATAAGAGATTAACTCCCCATTTTTGTGTAATTAACTGGTGACCAGGGACCTTTAACTACGACAGATTAGTGTGCATATTTTAGAAAGACATAATCATTTATTTTGGTGTGGATAAATTTGGTAACTCCTTAATATTGAGCCCTGAAAAGCCATGTGAATTAAAAAGAAACAAATTGCAACATGACACTATGAAACCATGACTTATTTGCTCATGCTCATTGAGCAAGCTCATACACAACACACAAACAAGTAAAATGAATGAGGAGGCTTGTGGACAAAGCACAAAACCTAAATCAAGTAATTTAAGCATGTCAAGGTCAAATTTATGCATATAAAATATACTTTCCCAACAACAAAATTAGGGTTAGTGAAAATGGCGAGTGGCTAGTAATGTTGGAAATCTACTAGCCACAGTGGCTGGTGATCAAAAAGTTAATGTCAAGCCCTGGATATACAGTATATTATAGACCAGAGATGCCCAAACTAGGGCCCATGGGCTAAAGTTGGCCGATGATAACTTTTGATTTGATCCGCCATCCCATCTGAGAATGGTTTAGAGCAAGGGTGGCTAACCCTGTTCCTGGAGAGCCGCCTTCCTGCAGATTTCAGTTGCAACCCATATCAAACACTCCTGCCTGTAATTGTCACGTGGTGTTCAGGTCCTAATTAATTGGTTCAGGTGTGTTTGATATGGGTAGCAACTGAAATCTGCAGGAAGGCGGCTCTCCAGGAACAGGGTTGGCCACCCCTGATGTAGAGATTGTAATTTCAAATTGAATGTAACCTTTTATTTGTTTATTTTATTCTTAAGCTACAAAAAGCTATCTGAAATTAAATGTTTAAATGTAAAGGCTTTAAATTAATCAGACTTTGTTTAAAATGTACATACGACAGATAGAGGATAATGCTGAGACTTTGGTGGGTGAATCAAGGCAAAGGCAGATTCTGCTTGACTAGTGTATTCAGCTTTGAACTCCACTGTGTTATAAATTTGATTGTTTAGTTTGATATGTGTATCTTCAGCCCACGGCTCTCAATGATATTTGATTATTGACCCTTCAAACGAAATAGTTTGGGCACCCCTGTTATGGAGCATTTCATTTACATTTACCACTATTGCTTTTTTTGTCCAGGCAAACACTAATACGTTGGATGTTCACAAGCACTTTCTCACAGCATGCTTGGCTTACAGTATGGACTTGCACTTTAATACTGTTATTTTTGCTCCTCTTGCGGTCCCTCTTTATAAACATCTGGTCTAAGGGGGGGTAGTTTGGCAGAAACTTTAAAAAAAAAGTTTCAAAACCATCATTAAATGTATAGGTTTGGAAGAGAGCAAAAGCCAGATTATAGACAGAAAATGTTATTCGAGCCAAGCCAGAGCTAAGCATAACAAACTCTAGAGGTCTGAGTATCGCTGACTGCAGTATCACACATGATCCAGAGGCAGCGGTTGCTTTGGACTTGTCTCAGTTACAAAGGCGGCTGTCAGGCCTGATTGGATGGAACAAAGCAATTCTTTTCAAAGGGTTTTTTTTTAGGGTAGACTGATCAATGAGGTCTTTTACGTGTGTTTTTTGTTGTTATTAGAGGGTTCGGTTGTAACGGTGGTCTGTTGAGGTATTGCTCTTGTTTTGACAGTGATGAAACCCAGCTGAATCTAGTGTATTTTGGAATGGAGGTTGGTGGGCTGCGGTCGTTGGCCAGTAAGATTTAATGGAAAGACAATGGTGCTGTAGTTGATAAGGATGGAAAGATTCATGGCTCGTATTGTAGTTTTAGTACTTTTACAAAGAAAACTACTTAGCCCTCCTGAATTATTACTATTCCTGAATTATTACTACTTAGCCCCCCGATTTCTGTTTATTTTTTCAACACATTTCTAAACATAATATGTTTAATAACTTATTTGTAATAACTAATTTTTTTATCTTTATCATGATGACAGTATCATATTTTACTAGATATTTTTCAACATACTACACTGTAAAACCCAACAGTCAACTTTATCAAATAAAATGAGTGTAGGTAACTCAAAATTGACTAAAAGTTAATTCTACTCATTTAAAAAGAGTTTTGAACTCAGTGTTAAAGGTAGTGTGTCAAATAAATATCTCATTAATTCAACTTAAATGGAGTGAGTTCACATTACTCATATAGATTAGTTTTTCAATTCAAATGGTTTGTCGCAAACGGTTTCCTCAAACAGTTTGAGTAGACTTAACTTATTGGCTTTTACTGTGCTCAACTTGCTTCATTTACTCAAATGTATTAAGTTCACAGTACTCACTAGAATACATTTTTGAACATAATTGGTTTGTTGCTATAAGTTTAACTAGATTAATTAGGTTACAAATAAGACTTTCTCCAAAAAAAAATAATAATAATAGATAGATAAATAAATATATATTTATATATATAGGAAATACTGTGAAAATACCTTGCTCTGTTAATCGCTGTTAATTTGCAACGAGTATTAGGCTGCATGTCTACCGAACTGTTTTTGTGCTACAAAAACGTGAGCACAGCTGTGAGTGTTTTTGCAGAACAGGGCTCACTCATTATTCGCGGGAGTTATGTTCTAAAAATAACCCGCAATAGGCAAAATCTGCGAAGTAGTCAGC